GCCACAGACCCTTGCTACAGATGTAGATTTTGATTTGCAGCAAGTTGAGTCACCAAGTTGACCAATGCATCAAGTTTACTCTCTAGCTTTTTATCTGTATCAGTGGCCACATCATGAACTCCTTTGATGACAATTGCATTGTCATTTCTAGTACTAAATTATTGAGAGTTGGAGGCCATCTTTTCTATCAAGTGTCTGGCTTCAACTAGGGTCATGTCACCAAGTGCTCCACCACTTGCAGCATCTATCATACTCCTCTCCATGTTATTCAGCCCCTCATAAAAATATTGCAGTAACAACTGCTCAGAAATCTAGTGGTGAGGACAGCTTGCACACAATTTCTTGAATCTCTCCCAATACTCATACAAGCTATCTCCACCAAGTTTCCTGATCCCTGATATATCTTTTCTGATTGCAGTAGTTCTTGAGGCAGGGAAGAATTTCTCCAGAAACATTCTTTTCAAATCATCCCAACTAGTGATGGACCTGGGAGCTAAATAATACAACCAATCTTTAGCATCTCCCTCCAATGAGTGTGGAAATGCCTTCAAGTAAAAGTGGTCCTCTTGAACATCAGGAGGCTTCATGGTAGAACAAACAATATGGAACTTCTTCAGATGTTTATGTGGATCCTCACTTGCATGACCATGAAACTTGGGCAATAAATGGATTAGTCCAGTTTTAAGCACAAAAGGAACATCCTCTTCAGGATATTGAATGCACAAACTCTCATATGTAAAATCAGGTGCATCCATCTCCCTAAGAGTCCTCTCACGGGGTCCATTATAAGGTTGTTCACCCATGTTTTCTGTTTGAACTGAATCAAACTCAGATGCAACACTTACATTATGACTATCACTATGACTATTACTATCTAAAGATGGAATGATATGCTCTCTAATTAGTCTATGGAATGTCCTATCAATCTCAGGATCAAATGGATGCATAAAACAAGGTTGCTCCTAGTCATGCACTACATGCAACACATGCATCACGACACGTGAACAATAGGGGTAAAATGGGAATTTCCATGAAAACTCAGAAAACATAAAAAATAATGCACCAATATCATCTTAAAATTATTAGAAACTTCCATAAAAAATTTGAGAGCAAAATTCAAAGCCTAACTATATGAACCACCTATGAAAAGTTTTGAAAAATAGGGAAATAAAACTTCAAAATTAGAAAACAAATAGTAAACGGCCTCTTTTTTTTTTCTTCTGAAAATCTAGCTGGGGTCAGACAACATACCTGTCTAAATTTGATAGATCTCATTTTTCTACACAAATTGAAATAAAAAATTTTCCCAATTCTTATAACTAGAGCAAAAGTTATGGCCGTTTGAAGTTTTGGAAAAATATATCTTCACAAAATTTTGTATCTTCAAATCTAGACCACCTGTTGGGCCTCTGGTTTTTTTCACACAAAATATAGGTTAAAAGAAGTTACCACACAAAATTTTAGGCAAAAATAACAAGTCTAGCTATCAAAACTAAAAATCACAATTAATTGGAAAATTCTGGCACTATTCAGCACTATTCACCGCCACATGAAATTCAACAATTTCACACCCCTTCCCACAACTTTGGCACCCGAACAGAGGAGTATTAGGGAGAGGAAATAGAGCATGCCTAATTGAAACAGAGTATACACGGATTGCAAATAGAGTATGCATAAATGAGCTACAAAATACATCAAACCAAAATTGACTCTACTATTCCATTGGATTATTGTTCCATTCACTACTACAAAATGCATATTTTACATTGGTTCTTTAAAGACATCTACATCGGTTCTAAAACCGATGTAGAATAGAGCGACGTAGAAAATGAGCACATTTTTACGTCGGTTTTGAAAAACCGATGTAGATACCGATGTAGATTTATGCTTAAATCTACATCAGTTCTCTTGAGAACCGATGTAGATTGCTTTTTTAAAAAAAATCATGCTTATTTTTTGATTATTTATGATTACCTGTAATTAAATACAAATGTATGCACTAGACTAGAGCCTATGTTAATGTTTATAAGCAAAAGTATTTGATCATGAAGAGAAGTCACAACCAAGTTACCTACATATGATGCCAAAGTTCATATCAAAATTAGACTAGATATGACTTACATTAAATTATATAAAGCTACCATGCAAACTAATTCTTGCCAGTTATGGTTTGTATCAAATACCAAATGGAAGTTACAGAAAAGTATAGGTAATAAACTTTTTGCAATAGACAATGATAAGGTAGTATTTTAATTAAGGAATTGAAACAATAAATTTGGAAGTAATGGCAGCGCAATTGCGTCAATTAAAATAGCAGCGCAATTCTAAGGCCAGTTTGGATAAACACCACGGTAGGCAATTATAGAAAAAGAAAATAAAGTAAACTAAGGAGACAAAATTCATCAAACTTCTTGCAGAAGTTAAAATCAACCTATACACGTAAATTTTTTTAGAAGTTCCTTTGTCTAACTTGACTTAAAATCATGAACCATTAAAAAGCTCTCCCAAGTTAGACACGAACCTAAACTTTAGCCCTAGTGATTAATAGTTGATTTTGGCATTTTTTTAGTTTGTTGCACTAGGAAAAATCAGGCCAGTTGTACTAGGTCAGGCCAAAATAAGTTTTTGTGTCAATTTTGTTAGCCCCAAAACAAGCTCATTTCATTGTTCTTTTTGGGCCAATCAATTGAAGATTGGTTCAAATTTGACACTCTTATTGATACTACTATAATCAACAAGACTATTTCAATATTGTTATTTCAAACAACAGTGTTTTCTGAAAAAAATGTAATGTGATTGTAATAAACTCAGTCACATACCTCTTTTATCAACTTTTTGTAAGTTTGAGTAAGACCAAGCTCTCTCACCAAGATAACTTCTCAGTTGACCCAGCTTTACCGAGCAGAACTGCACTGCACCATTAACTTTATCCCCAAAGTCCATGTTCCATAACGCAGACAAGTCTTGTTGAATAACAACATCATCATCCAAAACCACAACTTTCTTCAAATTGCTGAATAAATCAAGAAGTAAATAGTGTGAATCAGAAAAAATTGAAAGGTATTATGTTCTAATCTGGTTCATGGATGGATTATTATAACCACAAATGATACACGGAACTCCTCGGACAAGGATAGAAGCAATGGATTTTCCTTTTCACTGTTCAGCTCAACATTCAGCACTTGAACAGAAGCTTCCTTATAATGGTTCCTCAAGAACCAGAGCTTCATTGCATAATAATTTTCTCCATCAGTCAACACATGAAAAACCTTATTTGAACTTTCCTGAAACATTTCACAAAAAGAAGTAAAATTATTATTACATCAGCTAAAATTAAACCTGTATCAAATCAGTAGTGCATGACTAGATGCATAGCATACCTTTGCATGAAATACAGTGGAGTTGATAACCACTGAAGTTGCAAGCACATTATTAGAGAAAATAACATAATGGTGTAATGAAGAATCAATAAACTTTTCCTCATCAGTCTTCTCTTCATGATTAGGGGATTTGAAATATTCTACAGTTAGTTTCACTGACAGGCAGTGAAGACTCTTTGGCATTGTCTGAACATTAAGTTTATACAAGAATGCACTTTGTTTCATGTGGAAGATGGCTTCATCCTCGACCAAATCAAATATTTGTCTCAATTTCTTGTCAACATTGTTGCAATCCATAGGTACTGATTTTGCTCTGGTAATTGAATGTTCCATCTTCTTCGAATAGCTCTCAGCCCTGAAAAATAATATTGACTACCATGTAACACCACCACAACATAAACACCACCAATTCAATTACTCATACTTTTGTTTAAAAAGTTTTAAAATATGTATTAAAATAGAAAATTAACCTCACAATTTCTGATTGAGTTTTACCTGAAATCCAAACATTGGCCTTTGACAACCAATCAAAAACTTGACAAAATCCTATACACAGATCACTCATGACAGATTGGAATTTGTTAAAAGAGATCTCATAACTGACCTCACTAGTGAGATAAGGTAGTTGGTCTTTTGTTGAATGATAACAATGACAATCTAAATATAGTCATTCCTCACACTACAAGCTTTAAACTATCGATGCTAACAAGAGGAGTACAAGCAACACACTATACTATTGGCTCAAAATTGCAGGAGAACAATTCAGGCAGAAAAAGAAAAATCCAGAATGAGTTTTAAGCATATTCAGCAAATAATAACATCACCAAATAGAAAGGATGTTTCAAAGTAAAGTGAAAACAACTTAAGGAGGCAAAGATCTTCATCGTACCTTGAGCATAATCCCACACAGTGAACGAGGAGCTTTCTATATCGTATCCACATCAAGCAACACAAAACACAAATTCAAGACTTAATAACATAAAAGAGGAGGGTTACTATACTTTCATATTCACACAAATCCAAAAGCACATCAAAAGAATTTACAATCATACACCAACATCTCTTGCAAAAGAAAAACAGAAAAGCATTATTCAAATTAGGAAAACATAGAAAAACCCAAAAATAAGGACTTTTTGACATTTAAGAGGATATCTTCCATCTGGACTCCAACTGAGAGCACTAATGTGCTCTTCATATGAAATTAATAATTCATTTAAGTGCAAAAGCAATAAACCTGAACAAGGAAAATTTGGCAGCAGTGCAAATAAATAAAGAATACATATGCATTGGACAAATATCCACAATGCCTTCGTGAAAGATCACGTATTTTTAGAATCATTTCAGAGCATGATAATTGAATTGGGATTCATGATCAATAATAAAATATAGTATATTATATACAACCAAGATACATAAAAGTAAAATATCATGAATAATAACTAAAAACATAAACCTGATACTAGTGAAGACAGTGCTCATTGCCTGGTATGATTGCAAGCAAAGGCAAACCAACATACACCAGCAGCCAATTCCCTGTCTTATCTAATTTTTGGGAAGAGAAAAAAAAACCTCTTATTGTCAAAATCACATATACAGCTCGCCTCCGCTCTTATTGTCAAATCACATATACAGCTCGCCTCCGCCCTCTCCAACATCATTGAGGAAAATGAATTTCCAGCCATGAAGATGAGCTCGAACGGCAATGTCCATGTCCTCAACAGTAGTCCTCTCCAGCCAACCACCAGCATCCTCCAAAGCTTTTATCCTCCACAATCCCGCGGTTCCATTGAACTCAAAGAAGTTAATAAAAATCCAATTCACTTGCTGCTCCACCTCAAAATGAAAAGCCAGGTTAATGTTCTGCAACCTTGTTAACAGGTTCTCATCCTTGTTCACAAAAGACCACCTCGCCTGAACAAGCCCCAATTCCTCGTTATCCTGCACCATCACCAATCACAAGTCAAACAAACAAACAACCACTTTTACCATGGCATTGTTGTTCTAGCGACAGGACAATCATAGAAGAGGAAAACCTTAGCTTTGTAGTTTGTTATGATAACTCATAATAAATTACAAATGACACTGGACGGTGAATCATTAATGACACCCACCTTAAAATGAGGAACAATTTTCTTGAGGAAATCCGGCATAGGCTGGAAATATGCATCAAAAATTGCAACGAACTCGTAGTCTCTGACGTAGCTACAATTCATGGCGGATTTCAAATTCCCAGCTTTGTAGCCATCTCTTATGATGCAATGTCGGTACAAAATGTTGGCACCCTCTTGTTGCCATTTCTGAACCTCCTCCTTTATCAACAACTGCGTGGTTGGGTCATCTGAGTCATCCAAAACCTGAATCAACAACTTCCGTTTGGGCCAATCCAAATTGCACACCACAGTAATTGACTGCTGGTAAACCTAAAAAACCAAAAGTAAATTAGATCAGAACAAATTAAACTAAAAAAAAGAGTAGTTATCAGTTATAAGTTATTACCTCTTTCTCATTGCACATAGCGATCTGCACGAGCACCATTGGGAAAAAACCAAAACCCTTCTCTGTGGATTCGAGATCTACCACACCCCCACCCTTGGGGACAGGCTTGATCTTCTTAAATCGAATCCAGAAACAGCCCAAACACAGAACAAGCCTATCCATACTCTGGATAAGGAACAACACAATACACGCATTGGTTAGAAATTGCAGAGAGGGAGCGAGGTACTCCACGCGAACCAAAACCCAGCGCGAGTAAACCATAACTCCAAACCCGGGTGCCCAAAGCCCAGACTCCAACTGAAGAGTCGCGGTGCCGAAATGCCAGCCTTTGAAGTACGCAGCGACCTCGAAGCACAAGAGGGAAATAGAGAGGAAGAGGAAGAGCTTGATGCAGGAATAGAAGCGCGTCTTCACGGTTGCGCTCTCGTTCTCCCGGCCACCTTCGGTGTTGACGTTGGTTTTCCCGGCGTCCACTCGGCGCTTGACGGCGGAGATGAGCACCCACAATGTCGGCGCGAGGGAGGTCAAGAAGCTGGCGATGCGATGCGCTTTGAGGAGGAGAACCCATGTGAGCTGTTTGGCATTTTTGCCTCTTCCTTTTCGCTTATGATTAAGTCCTCTTCTTCGGGACCCTCCAGCGTGGCGAACCTCTTCCCCGGCACGAATGAGAGTGATCGCGTGAAAAACCCTAAAGGCGAAGCGTAGAGGGGGAGTCTAGAGAAGCTTCCCAACCTCCTTCACCTTCATCTCGACGACAGAAGCAGAGCGCGGAGACGAGCTGCGCGAAATAGCGACGCGCGAGGGACTCCGGGAGGTGGCCGCGGCGGGAGAGCTTGGAGAAGAGCGCTTTAGCTTTAAGAGCATTTTAGGTTTGAGAGTGAGCGCGCATCTACTGAGTGGTCGCGGGAGGGGAAGAATTTAGTCACCTCTTCTACATCGAGCAACACAAAACCTGATGTAGAACAGATTACTATTTTCATTTCTACATCGGTCACTCATATAACCGATGTAGAATTGTTTATATTTACATCATTTTTTACAATAACCGATGTAAATATTCTTATTTATTCAAGTTATTTACGAAATTCCCACCGCACATTTTTTTTACATCGTTTTATAAGGAACCGATGTAAATATAATGGCGTAGAATAGTATTTTTCTAGTAGTGATTGGTTCTCTTAGTTGCATGAAATTGAATAGCACGAATTTTTCAATTAATATACTTGCCACACCTGCATAGACTAATAACAAACACAAATACACAATGTAACATGTAATGAGACACAAAAACGCAAGCAGCAAACTGATACACAAAATTCATACAAAATTGAAGCAAAAACTGATACACTAAAACACTACGCCAAAAACAAAACAGAACACAAAACCTTTGACAAGAACCGATGGTCCCCGACAACGGCGCCAAATTTGATCGAAGCCGTATCCGGTCAAATAAAACAATTAAATGTAGTACTAGGAAGCTGACCTAGGTCGTCTCCCAAGGACCATTTGTCTCTGTCAAAGGCTTAAACACGAAGTGGGGGGGTTTGGTTCAGTTTTTCAGCTTAAAACACACTAAAATGCAAGGTAACACAACAACTAAAATACATTTACTCCTTGTTCAGATTGTAACTCTCTTATCCTTGGTTCACAATGAGATTACTCTATCAACCACTTAATCCTTGTTCCATCCGAGTTAACCAACTAAGCGAAGATTAACTTAAGACTTCCCTATACAAATTAAGCAAACGTATACAGCAATGAACCTCTCCACAAGATTAAGCAACCGTGGCATTGAGGATAGCCCATTAAGCATGAACACATTTATACAGAGATTAAATGAAGAATGATCAAGTAGAACAGAGATGTACAAAACGTACCCAACCTCAAATAGAGATTACAATCCATAACAAGGAGCCAACCCCAAGGGTTTTAGCCTTCCATTAAAACAGAAACAAAAACAGAGACAAAAATGAAAATGAAGGATGAAGAGTCAAACGAAATCTGTATTCTTCAATATAAGGGTTCAGTTTCTACAATCAGAGAAGAGAAGAGCAAAGAAAAACGTAAATGGAGAAGAAGCAAAACGTAAAACTGGAGATACAAAACAGAGAGCAAAAAAAATGTAAAAGCAAAGGGAGGCCAAATGAGCAGAACGTAGTCCCATCAGATGGTGGTTGCATGGTCCCTACTCTAGGTCCTAAAAACCCTAGAAAAGTCAAAACGGGCCCCAATCCAAGTCTGACCCGAATTTACAATGAAATAAAATGAAAGATAAAATTAAACAAAATGCTAAAGTGGTGCTGACGTGGTATTTATCTCTTGAATCCAAAATTAATATCCAAGCCTAAAAATGCTTCACAATTAGCCTAAAAATAATTGATAGATAAAAATTAGACCAAGTGAATCGGAATTAATTAAAATTCAAATTACTGGCCCAATGAAGCCCAAATAGTAAAACTGTATAATTAATAAGCGATTAAGCCCAAATCAACAATTAAAATAAGTACAGAAAGATAAATAAATAAGGGAAAATAATGACTCATCAAGAAGTAGAAAATGGAAAAGAAGATTGGTGGGAATACTTCTTTAGCGAACTTTATAAAGTGTTCTTCAAATGTGGAATACTTGAAGGGCTTTTTGGTTGCCTTTCACACTACAATGTGCCTCACAACTCTCCAAAAATACAAAAGGAGGGAGAGAGAGAATTTTGAGTTTATACAAGACTTCAGTAAGAAATGTTTTTTTTTTGTTTCTTTTTGCTCCCCTATTGCTGCATATGAGCCTACCATTTATAAGCACGAAAATCCACTAGAACGAACTGTTCTGAATTTAGAATAGGCCATTATGGGCCTTTCTGTTACGCACAAAATTTAAAATTGGAATGACAAGTTCGCAAAGTGAAATGGTCCGTTCCAAATTTGAATTTTGCATGTAACAAACTAGAATGAGACGTTATGACCTAGGATTACAAGCTTTTTTCTAAGCTCAGAATGATCCATTCTGGTTTGGGAACGACCCGTTCCCAGCTCCTAATTCTGGCCCTCTACATTTTAGGCCTCTAGATGTCATGTTAGCCTACTCTGATGTTGTTTTCAGGCCTTCAAGAACTCCTTCTTTTATGTTAAAAGTCCATTTCCTTATTTGCGTGCCACAGACAAAATTAGGTGTCTATAGATGCCCTTCTTTAGTTGTCCTTTTGAATAGTTATGTGTTGCTTTTCCAAAGGAAAGTAAAGACATAGACATTTCATCCAGCTCCTTTCTTTGTCTCTTCGTGCAGGCGCTTCCACATCGTTTCCTTCAAATAGATGTGTTTTCCTGTACCCTTGCTCTTCGGAGCAGCTGAGTGTTGGGTTGTGTACTCCATTGGGTGATGGAAGGTGACTTTGTTCCATGCACGCCCTTGATCTTGTAACAAGGATGGAAAACTATACCACCTTATCTTTTGTCTTCATGTAGATTCTCCATGCCATTTTCTCTAGTTGTTTTTCTGTGATAGTGAGGTAAAGATCCGAGTCCTTTCTTTTGCTTTGACATCAGGTGCCTCCACATTGTTTCCTTTAGGTAGATGGGTTTACCTGTATCCTTGCCCTTCGGAGCAACTAAGTGTTGAGTTGTGTGCTCCGTTGGGTGACAATGATGGTAAATTGTACCATCTAGGCGTCTGACTTGGTGTAGAAACTCCATGTTGCTTCTACTAATCTTGTGATAGTGTGATTTTATTTATTGCTCGCTGAAGAGGGAGTATATTTTAAGCTCAATCTCTCTAGGCTAGATCTAAGGCTTCAGCTAGCCTATGGTGAGTGTTACTTATTCCAACCTCTCCAAGTTGGATTGGTATTAAAGCTCTAGTCGACCCTTTTCGATCTTGCACTAGTTTCGAGGATCCAACAAACCTTTTTTGAGTCATGTACTTGTTTTGAGAATCCAACGAACCTTTTTCAAGTCGTGTATTGGTTTTAAGGGTCTAACAACCTTTTTCGAGTCGTGTACTGGTTTTGAGGGTCCAATAATCTTTTTTAAGCTTGTACTGGTTTTAAGGGTCCAACAACTCTTTCCAAGCTTGTACTGGTTTTAAGGGTCCAACAACCGTTTTGAGCTTGTACTAGTTTTGAGGGTCTAGTAATCTTTTCCAAGCTTGGTGTTGAGTATTTCTACGTGGCCTCTCCAAGTCTACAAAGATGATTATTTATGCGAGGCCTCTCCAGGCTTGAGGTGAGTATTTCTGCGAGGTCTCTAGGCCTGAGGTTGAGTATTTCTACGAGGCCCCTCCAAGACTGAGGTGAGTATTTGAGAAACTCGACGATGTCCTCCCATTGATGTTGTGGAGTGTTCCTGGAGTTGACGGGCAAAGAATGCCTGGCGTGCTCCTGTTAGCAGGATGTTGATGATGATCCTATTGTATGATTATTATGATGTCTTTCTAGGCATCTTCATCGGGGAATGAGAAGTGTGGCAGAGATTCTGGTGTTGTTCCTTCTACATGAGTATTGTGATTCCTCTTCAGGCGTTTGTGTTAGGGATGTATGATGAGAATTTTGTATTCTTCCTGCTACACGAGTATTATGATGCCTCTCCAAGCGCCTTCTAGGGATTGGTTGGATGATGATTGGTTGCCAGGAATCTAGTGTTGCTCCTGCCAAGGTGATGAGTCATTATTTTCCCCTATTTATTTATCTTTCTGTACTTATTTTAATTGTTAATTTGGGCTTAATCGCCTATTAATTGCACAATTTCATTGTTTGGGCTTCATTGGGCCAGTACTTCAAATTTTAATTAATTCTAATTCACTTGGTCTAATTTTTGTCTATTAATTATTTTCAGGTTAATTGTGAAGAATTTTTAAGCTTGGATATTATTTTTGGACTTCAAGAGATAAATGCCACATCAGCACCACATCGGCACCACATTAGCATTTTGTTTTATTTTATTTTTTTGTTTATTTTATGTATTTTCGGGTCAAACCTGACTTGGGGGCCCATTTTGACTCTTCTAGGGTTTTTAGGATCCTAGGGTAGGCCATACAACCCCCATCTGACGTGACCACGTTGGGGGGACACCTTCCTTCTCTTTGTTTTTACGTTTTTCTCTTTTGGCTCTATTTTCTTGTATCTGAGTTTATGTTTTGCTCTCCTCTCCTCTGATCTGCAGTTTACGTTTTGTATCTGAACCCTTGCATTGAAAAATATAGATTATCCATTTTCGTTTTGCTCTCCTTTCCTTGCATTTTCATTTCTGTATCTGTTTTTGTTTTAATGGAAGGCTAGAATCCTTGGGGTTGGCTTCTTGTTATGGATTGTAATCTCTATTTGAGGTTGGGTATGTTTGTATATCTTTTTTCTACTTGGTCATTTTTCATTTAACCTTTGTATCAATGTGTTCATGCTTAATGGGTTGTGCTCAATGCCACAGTTGCTTAATCTGTGAAGAGGTTGATGTTGTATACGTTTGCTTAATTCATGTAAGGAAATTCTTGAGTTAATCTTCTCTTAGTTGGTTAACTCGGATGGAACAAGGATTAAGTGGTTAACAGAGTAATCTCATTGTGAACCAAGGATAAGAGAGTTACAATCCGAACAAGGAGCCAATCTATTTTACTTGCTGTGTTATTTGCGTTTTATTGTGTTATAAACTGAAAAATCTGAACCAAACCCCCCCACTTCGTGTTTAAGCCTTTGACAGAGAAAAATGGTCCTTGGGAGATGACCTAGGAAAACTTCCTAGGACAACCTCCAAGTCTACAAAGATGAGTATTTCTGCGAGGCCTCTCCAAGCTTGAGGTGAGTATTTCTGCGAAGTCTCTAGGCCTGAGGTTGAGTATTTCTACGAGGCCCCTCCAAGACTGAGGTGAGTATTTGAGAAACTCGATGATGTCCTCCCATTGATGTTGTGGAGTGTTCCTGGGGTTGACAGGCAAAGAATGCCTGGCGTGCTCCTGTTAGCAGGATGTTGATGATGATTCTATTGTATGATTATTATGATGCCTTTCTAGGAATCTTCATCAGGGAATGAGAAGTGTGGCAGAGATTCTGGTGTTGTTCCTTCCACGTGAGTATTGTGATTCCTCTTCAGGCATTTGTGCTGGGGATGTATGATGAGAATTTTGTATTCTTCCCGCTACACGAGTATTATGATGCCTCTCCAAGCGCCTTCTAGGGATTGGTTGGTTGATGATTTGTTGCCAGGAATCTAGTGTTGCTCCTGCCAAGGTGAGTATTATGATGCCTCTCCAAACATTTGTTGTGGATACTATGACTTGATGATGTCGTGGTTGTTGTGTGGATGGTTTGGATCTTGTTAAATTTTATGACTTGATCATTGGGTGCAATGATTTTCTATGAGCAAAATCTGCCCCTTGCTTGTAGATGAATTCCCCAGGCCGAGGACTTTTCCGAGTCTTGTTATTGTTTCCAGCTTCAGCTTTTCTTATGTTAAAGCTTTGCCCCTTTTTTCGTCTTCCACTTTATTCAATGTGCAAATGATGAATGCATGCTTTTATAAATATGTCTGTATTTTATTGTTTATTTTAGACAATTCCCCTTAGATGTGAAAAATTATTCTTTCCTTAAATATGCGTTTGACGTATGTCACATATGTGCAATGTGCCTTTCTAGATGTTTCCCGTTGCTCGAAGGTTTTTTTTCTTCTCCTTGAGGTAGGGCTTTTTTTAAGCGTTATGGAACCTTTCATTAGAAGTTCATACAGGGCTATTGTTCATTTATTGTTTTCTTTTATTAAACCGGTTCGCAACCGATTTAATCAATAACAAAACGCGTCATTTAACAATATAGGTCAAGAGAAGTGAAAAAAACAAAGGGTATCTTTATTATAAATCAAAAACTTTAAGAATGATTACAAAAGGGATTTAGAGAAAATGGTTGACTAAGGTAGGCCATTTTTTGGGCTCAATCAAACATATCCCTTAAAAAACAAGAATAAACAACCTCCTAGTTTCCTGAATACCATGCTTCGAACTTTGACCTGATTCTTATTCGCTGCTTCAATCACCCCATTCATTTTCGGTCTATAAAGAGAGGAATTGTGATGCTGAAATTTGAAAGAGCCACATAATTCGGTCATCATCTTGTTGTTGAGATTGGACCCATTATCTATTATAATTTTGTCAAGAATTCTATATCAACATATTATGTTCTTCTTGAAAAATTTGACCACCACTTTACGGGTTACATGTGCATATGACATTGCTTCCACCCATTTAGTGAAATAGTCGATGGCTGTGAGAATGAATCTGTGTCTATTCAAAACTTTGGGTTCAATGGATCCAATGACATCCATGCCCTACATTGAGAATGGCCAAGGCGATGTCATCACGTTGAGCTCATTGGGTGGGACTTGGATGTTATCAGCATATATTTGGCATTTTCAACATTTTGTTGCATATGAGGTACAATCTTTGTCCATGGTTGACCAAAAATACCATGCTCTCATGATTTTCCTTGCCATGACATGCCCCGTCATATGGGTACAGAAAGTTCCCTCATGGATTTCCTTCATTAAGGATTGAGTCTCCTTATGATCGACACATCTTAATAGGACTGAATCGAAGCTTTTCTTGTAAAGGACTCCCCCATGTGATGAGAATCCGATAACTTTATGTCTAATCATTTTCTTATCATTGTCAAATTTATGATCGACACATCTTAATAGGACTGAATCGAAGCTTTTCTTGTAAAGGACTCCCCCATGTGATGAGAATCCGATAACTTTATGTCTAATCATTTTCTTATCATTGTCAAATGCCCTAGTTGGGTATTTTCCTCCATCAATATATTGTTGGATGTCAAAATACCACGGATGGCCATTGTCTCTTCCATCTAAAGTGAAGCAATGAGCTTGCACCTCATGAAGTCAAATTCTAATGATTGGCATTTCACATCCTTCTTTTATGGCGAACATGGAGGATAATATGGCCAAAGCATCTGCCAACTAATTTCCTTCTCTTGGGGTGTGTTCAAAGTTGATTGATTTGAACTAGGGTATCAAACTTTGGATATATTCCTATTAAGGAACTAATTTGGAATCTCTAGTTTCCCATTCATCCCTTAATTGATGTATTACCAAAGCTGAGTCGTTGTAGACTTCTAATTTTGGGATGTTGTTGTCGAGAGCGACATGCAAACCCAATATCCAGGCTTTATATTCGGCCATGTTATTGGCACAATCGAAGTCTAATCTTGCCGTCACTAGGATATGTTTTCCTTGGGACGACATTAGTATAGCACCTATCCTATGCCCCATCAAGTTTGAGGCTCTATACATGGACCTAGATTCCTCTTTAGCTTGTTCTTTTTCCTCATTTCCCAAAGCTAAAATTTCTTCATCAAGGAAGTCATCCTTTATTGCATGTCTTTCGTCGATCAACCCACTTACTAGGTAATTAGCCAAGGCACTATCTTTGATTGCCTTTTGTGATACATAGGTGATGTCGTATTCTGATAACAATACTTGCCATCTGGCGACCCTCCTAGTGAGTATCGACTTCTCGAATAGATATTTGATGGGATCCATTCTTGATATCAACTGGGTAGTATGCCTTAGCATGTATTATCTTAATCGTTGAGCAGCCTATACCAAAGCACATCCAGTCTTCTCCAAAGGCAAATATCGTGTTTTGTAATTTGTGAATTTCTTGCTTAGATAGTAGATAGCTCGTTCTTGATTGGTGGTTTCACATTGCTAACCAAGCATACATCCCAAGGAGCCCTCCGATACTGTAAGGTATCAAATTAGAGGTTTCCCTTCAATAGGAGGCATTAATATCGGCGGGTTTACAACATATTATTTGATCCTATCGAAGGTGAGTTGACATTCCTCATTCCACTCCATTGGCTGATTCTTTCAGAGTAGTTTGAAGATGGGAGTACATGTAACAGTCAATTGAGATATGAAACAAGCTGTGTAATTTACTCTTCCAAGAAATCCTTTAACCTCATTTTCCGTCTTTGGAGGTGACATCTCTATGATGGCCTTAGCCTTATCCAGATCTACTTCTATCCCTTTTTCACTGGCAATAAATCCAAGGAGTTTTCCAAATTGAACTCTGAAAGTACATTTGCCGAGTTTAGCTTCAATTGGTAGTTATGAAGTCGATTGAATAATTTTCTTAGATGAATGAGGTGATCACTCGCTTTTTGACTTAGCGATCATGTCATCCACATACACCTCGATTTCTTTATGGATCATGTCGTGAAACAAAGTTACCATGGACCTTTGGTAAGTCGCTCCAACATTTTTTAATCCAAACAGCATCACTTTGTAATAGAACGTTCCCCAAGTTGTGATAAAAGAAGTTTTCTCACAATCCTCGACATCCATTTTGATCTAGTTGTATCTCGAATACCCATCCATAAACGAAAAGATAGTGTTTTTGGAGGTATTATCTACAAGCACATCGACGTGAGGTAATGGGAAGTCATCTTTAGGACTAGCTCGATTTAAGTCTCGATAGTCCACACAGACTCGTACCTTCCTATTTTTCTTCGACACGAGCACTATATTCGGAAGCCACTCCAGATAATGAGATACAACCAAGAATCCCACATCTAACTACTTTTGAATTTCTTCCTTTATCTTAAGGAACCATTCGGGCTTGACTCTTCAAAGCTTTTGCTTTATAGGACGAATTCTGGTTTTTATGGGCAATTTATGTTTGATGATTTTGGGGTCTAATCTTGGCATATCATGATAAGACCAAGTGAAAATGTTGACATATTCTTTTAGAAGGCTAATCAGTCGGTCCTTGACTTCATCTTTAATTCTTGTGTCGATCAATATTTCCTTTTTATCTTCTCCTTATCCCAAATTGACTTTCTCAATTTCCTCTTGATGAGGCTGGATTATTCGAGCTTCTTGATCCACTAGTCTTTGCATTTTGGAGGAGAGATCTTCCTCGGGTTCAAGCGATGCATTACAGATGTTTGGATTTTGTTTAATTTTGTTTTCCTTAGTCATATTTGCTTTCTTTAGGTTCTGTATTTGGATTTTAGAGTTTTAATGCATGAGAGAAAAGAAAAGGAAGAAAAGAAATGAAAAGTAGACAAGATTTGTATAAATGACGCATTTTATCATATAAAAAAAGTATTACATACCCTATATTGTGGGAACCTGATAGACTATGGCCAAGGCCAAGGAATCCAAG